CCCCAAAACCCCAAAACCCCAAAACCCCAAAACCCCAAAATTAAAATAAATTATTGAAAACACTACAATGGAGAAAACCAAAAAGAGAGACGAAAAAACTAAAAAGAAGGAAACAGAAGAGGTAATCCCTCTTAAAACCATTCTAACTCATCTAGATAGAAACTCCCCAAGAAGAAGAGGAAGAAGAGATCATCGGAGAAGGTGACCACTCTGGTAAGCCTCATGCTTAATCTCCAGACGAAGACTTTGAAGGCGAAGATGACAGTGATATGAGTGAAGAAGAGATTATGTTCAACAAAATCCTCAAACGTCAGAAAGTTAAAGAAGACTCTGATGAGGAGGAGAAGGAGAAGGAAACCCCTGATGATAAAAGCGAGGATAACCTCCAAGCTGATTTCGAAATTGTTGCTCCTTGTGAAAGCTTTTTCCATTCAATTAAAATGTTGATACAGAAATTGTGTGATGAGCAGAAGTTTGATATCTCTGGCCTTGCTGATGCTCTCATCGAACAGCAATCTCTTGGTTCTCTCCCTGTGACAACTTTGGACATCGACCTTGACGCGAAATATAAAAATTTAGATGACAAAGATTTTGAGAAAATGAGAATCAAGCATAATAATGATAGAGATGTTTATGGGATTACCACCGTAATCAACTTCTGTGACAGAGAAGATAAACCCTTCCTCGAAGAGATCTATGGCTACGTTATGTACAAAGCAAAGAAGTTTCTCCAGAAAGATCAAATCAAGAAATTCATTAGCATTCTGAACAGCAAAAAGATCGGGCTTTTTATTAATGAGAGATATCTAAACCTTCCTGTGAACTTAATTCCTGATCTGCTAAAGGGCATTGTCGAGGACATTAACTTCACTAAGCAGCAGGATGATGTAGAAAACCCAGAGGCATATGACTTCGACTACTTCATTGGCATGGCTAAAATATCCTCTGACAACCTGTACTACAAGCCTGAAGAAGAGCGGTTTATCGAAAAGTCAGTGATAAGTTTCAAGTTCTCATGAAAATCTGATGAAAACCAAGAGCAATATAAGAGAGTTATCTACCTCTTGAAGTATTCCAAGTTCAGGAACATTGTCGAAAATATTGATGGTTTGTTCAAAGAAAAAGAATAATTTGCAACTCAATTTCTGATACATAGGGAGGGGTTTTGGGGTTTTGGGGTTTTGGGGTTTTGGGGG